AATTTTTGTTAGCTGCCACTAAACTACAATCAATCATGTCATACATCTAGGCTCAAATTTAGGTGGGACATGTGTCAATTATGAACAGTTTGAAAAATTAAAACAAAAACATTCTATTATTTTCAGACATATGTGTGTCTCTTCACTCTCTATTTTTAAGCCTAACCAAGAGGCTTTATTGAAACTATAAAAAATTTATGCCAGAAGTGTACATGTGCAGTTATATATATAAATATTCACAGTTTGGATCCCCAAACAATATCTTGTTTAGGCACGTACCATTCCTTTGATAGTAGTTATAGATCATCCGATTGTCAAAAAATAAAAGAATGAAAATATATATTTTCTCTACTTTCTAATGGAAACACTTTCTTAACTTATGTCTCAACTAGCTAGAAAGGGAGAGTCAAATCGAGATTCGACTAAGTTTAAGTTGTTTGTCGATAGGTTATCGGAATAAAGTCACTTTATATCATTCATTTATCTATAAACTCCATACTTAACATAACAGTGTCATAATTGAAAAATTGTCTTACCTAAGAAGAGAAAAGTAAGCCGCCTAGCGCTCTTAAGCATTGATACATACGAAAATTATTTTATTAAAATAAACAAGTTTGGGAAAAAATGAGTTATAAAGAATTTGAACCAAATAGGGGATCGAAAGAACTATTTATAAAAATAAGTAACTTATTTATTTTCAGCTTTTATGGAAAAAAAAATTGTTTAAAATCAAATGTATTTACTTATAACTAAATTAGTTTTGTTGTAATTCAAGAAAATGGTCGACAAAGCATCTTACAAATTTAAAATATTTCTTACCGTTTTTTCAGTTACTTGGGACTCAATAGTTTCCATAGTTGCGCTTACTTCATTAAATGGCCACAGCGCAGATATGGTATTTTTTGATTCACTTCATTAAATATCAAACAGAATAGATCCGGTAAATTTCCTTTTCCCGCCCTTTCAAGGGTTTTACAACGGTTATTTTTCCTTAGGATTCTACATATACACATACTGGCCATGATACTCTTACGTTGTCATCTCTGAATCAAGAAAACTCTCTTCCTTCTTTCTACTGTAACCTTTCATTAATCTTTTTGATGCCTCAAAGTCACCCAGAAACTTAGAAAAATGGCGCTGTCGAGAAAACGTCCTCATCTTAACCTGCATATTCAGGTGCCGGAACCAGTAGAAATCCCGCAATGCATCCCTATTAATCCATTGCTTCTGCCAAGGCAAGAAGTTGAATGCGTGTCTGATCTTGAGAAACTACAGATTCTTGGCTCTGGCAATGGTGGGACTGTCTATCGAGTTCGTCACAAGCAGTCTTCTAAGGTTTACGCCTTGAAGGTTATCCGTGGTGGTGCCACTGATCAAGTACGTCAAGAAATTGAAATTCTCCGCCGTATGGATTCTCCTAATACTGTGCGATGCCATGCAATCTTCAAGGAGGCCTTGCGAAGAAAGTGGGTTCGTTTTCTGAAACCCTTGTCGCAAATATAGCTTACCAATCATTGAAGGGACTGGACTATCTCCA